ACAGATGCTGGTAAGCTTGCGGAGAAAAAGGAACACTTTTATACTGTTGATGGGAGTTTAAATTGGCCATTGTGAAAGACAGCATGGTGATTCCTCAAAGACCTAGAGGCAGAAATGCTGTTTTACCCAGCAATCCTATTACTGGGTATCCACCTAAAGGAATATAAATCATTGTATTGTAGAGATATATTCATCTGTATATTCATTGCAGCACTATTCACAATAGCAAAGACCTGGAATCAACCCAAATGCCCATCAATGATAGACTGGATAAAGAAAATATGGTACAGATACACCATGGAATACTATGTAGCCATATAAAGAAATGAGATCGTGTCCTTTGCAGTGACATGGATGGAGCTGGAAGCTGTTATCCTCAGCAAACTAACACAGGAACAGAAAATAAAACTCTGCATGTTCTCACTTATAAGTGGGAGCTGAATGATGAGAACACATGGACACACTGGGGCCTATAAGGGGATTGCAGGGGAGGGAGAGTGTCAGGAAGAATAGCTCATGGATTCTGGGCTTAATATTAATACCTCGGTGATGAATTGATCTGTGCAGCAAACCACTATGGCATGTGTTTACCTGTGTAACAAACCTGCACACCCTGCACATGTACCCGAAACTTAGAATAAAAGATGAAGAAAAACGAAAAGATCAGAAAAAGTTTGACTAGCCCTGCCCTTCTCACTCTGCTGTGGCATTCAGAACATGACCTAATATTCTTCAGGTGGAAAAGAATAATTTTCTCCCTTCCAGAGTTCATTGAACTCAAACAGGTTTACAACTCCAGTAGAATCAAAGAGGCATATATTTGCATGCAATTTTTTTCCAAATCAGAAAATATTGGCACTCACACTGAACACTGAGTTTTCTGCAGGCTTTCTAACAGATGGCCCAAGCAGGCAACACTGACGCCGAGCACAGCAAATGCTGGCAACTGGATCCCAGAGCCAGCCTGTGGAGGTGAGCATGAGGAGCCCACATTGGCTCCTCCCAACAACCATAGTGGCCCCCTTTTTCTGTTGGTGATGAGAAGGTTAACAGTTTTCCCTGTTTTACAGGTGAGGAAACTCATGTGTAGAGACAAAATCCATGCTTGAGGAGCATGCCCAGGGCCCTCTGCTAATACAGAGGCTACAATATAGGTATGATTCATGCCATTGTCTGTGACCCTATTGGCTCAGATATGTTATTCTGAGGAACAAGTTCAGGCTTCTTAGGGGTCTGTTTGAGGGCTGGAATACATTTGCCACTGACACTGGAACAAGTGAAACAATCAAGATGTGTGAGTAGTTTCTCTTGGAGGCTGCTGTGGGCTAAACCATGTCCCTCGCTACATTCATACATTGAGTCCTAAGTCCTAGCACCTCAGGGTGTGGCTGCATTTGGAGATAGGGCCTCTGAAGAGGTGATTAAGTTAAAATGAGGTTATTAGGGTGGGCCCTAATCCAATAGCCTGCTATCCTCAGAAGAGGAGATGAGGACACAGACAGATCCACACAGAAGGGAGACCATGTGAGGACACAGGGGGAAGACAGCGGTAAGGTTGTGCTCTGGTTAAGGGTAGGCTGAGGTAAGCATCCAGAGTGACTCAGTGAGTTTGGAGTGCAGACATATAACTCCACTTGTTATCACATCCATGTAGCCACAACATGGGAAGGCCATCCCTTGAGCCTATACCACTATTGTCTGTAAAAGGTATAATTGCCCTGCTGACACTATACAGGTTCTATCACGCTGGCACCCAGAGAAAGCAAGAGAGAATCAGAGCTGTCCATCTACAAGACAGACAGAGGGGAACCAGAACACAGCTTGAACTCTGGTGCCGAGAGAGAAAAAGAGTTAAGCTGCTGACCCCGAAGGAAGAGCCTTCCGTGCAGCCATGTGTGGGAATGCTGGACTAAGCAGCCAAGGCAGGTGGATGGTGTGAGAGAACTAGCATGAGTCAGCTGCTGACGAGAGAGCTGCATTTCACCTGCCTACAGTCCCCTGAGTGTTATTCCAGCTATTTGCTATCCACCTACTTCCTTCAGACCTAAGCATGAGCTGGAACCTGACCCTGGGCTTGATAATTGGCATAGTCATGAACCTGACAATAGCAATCTATAAGCCGAAGAGAGGGGCCTCAGAGAAACCAACCGTGCTGACCCCTTGATCTCAGACTTTAGCTTCTAGAATCATGAGAAAATAAATTTCTGTTGTTTAAGCCCCCTAGTCTGTGCCATTTTGTCATGGCAGCCCGAGTAGACTACTGTAGCTCTTGATAGTGGCTGAGCTGGCTTTCAGGAGGGAGGTAGGTCAGAAATGGTTCATTTATGGTGGCTACAGCACATACACGTTGCTCCCGTGGGCAGGAGTGGGTGGGCTGGGGCTGGGGGATGTGACTCGGAACTTGTTAGCCTTGCATTTCTCTAACACACTGATCATTGCTCACAGCAGCCCCTGAGCCCAGCTCTCTGACCTGCTAAGCTCCTCCACAGAAAGGAATTAACTGTGGCTACCTTCCCAGGCTTGGGTCAGAAGGCTGACATTTCACAAAACACTAAACGCAGGTGCCTGCCCAGTGTCTCCATCTGTGTGTCCACACTGGCTGCTCCTGCTCCGATGAAGGTTCAACAGTCCCACCTGCAATGTTTCCTGAATGACACCTGAAAACTCAGATGCCCGAATACTCAGGAACTGTTTTCAGAGGGGATTTGTTTGGAAAATACCCACAGGCATAAGGAAAGGCTCATAAATGACAGAAAAGGGAAGGAAGGACAAAGCAAAGAATGGATTCCAGTTTTTATAAATACAAAAAATTACGTAGGTTTGGAAGTGGGGTAGCTCTCTGAGCTCATGCAGGCACTACCTCCTATTAGGCAGTGGTGGAGTACCGTGGGCACACAGCAAGCGCTCAATAAACACTATGCTGAAGTGGCATGTTGGTGCTGTTAATGCCCAGACTGTGGCAGGCAAGCAAGGTCTTTCACACCCCACACCGCAAAGTGGCTCAGAAGATAGTGGCCTGCTTTTCAGACATACAAATCTCAGTACTGGGCCATGTGAAGATGCCGGAACTTCCCTGCTTAACTTATAAATATGATGGGAAAACTGTGTTGACAGAAGCAGCTTCAAGTTAACTTTTGCCACAGTCATGACAATTTTACTGACACCTGGCCCTGCTGGCTTTGAGCCAAACTGTAAAAAGCCCCTTAAGGTTTAAAGTCAATTGAAAAGATAACCTGTTATGTTCTGACTGCAGCCAGGTGAAGGTGCTTCAGGATGGGAGTAAATAAGTGTGGGGCCTTGCCTAATTCCACGGCCCACGGAGCCCCCAACAGCATTTATGTTTCAGAAATAGGGTGGTTGTTGCTAAAACACATTCAAAGATGCCTTGAAGGTTACAGGGTATGGCAGCCTTCTAAGTCTGAGACGGGGAGGCTGTAGCAAGTGATTGCTAGAGAGGGAAGATGAGGAAGAAGTGGTGAAATGGAGAAACTGGGTTTGATGCTGCCTGTGGGATTTGGGCTGACCATGTCTACTTCCTGAACCTCCTTTCCTGTCAACTGGCAAGGATCTGAAACTCCAGCTCAGGACCGTGTGAGGGTAATGTGGACCCAGGAAGCCATGCATGGGGGAGGGAGGTGGCACAGAGCAACTGCTCTGTATCTGTGAATGCAGGAACAGCCACCATGCAGGCTTCCAGCTGGCGTGGCTGGGGCTTGGATGCAGTAAATACTGATCTTCGGCTCACCCAAGCTGGCAGCAGAGTCTCTGGGATGTGTTGGGCTTGGCACTAGGAAATTAGCAGGCGTACTGAACTGAGTTGCAGTGTGCACTGGAACTATTAGATGGAAGTTGTCTTACACAGTAGTTGTTCAGAATAGTTGGTGAGGGGAGGAGGACAGGATTCAAATAGCCCCCGAGAATGGATGGTGATGTATCTGATGGATTTTCACCTTCTCCACGTGGTACTACCCAGTACCATGGGTGGCAGGGAGCCCTGATGGGCATTTGAACAGGGAAATTTCATCCTCCTTCTGCAAATGCTTCTGGGTCCCATGCTCTGTGCAGAAAGCTTGCAAAGCTCGTGTCTTTTGTGTTCTTGCTCCCAGATAACCCTCTGACCTCATCCTGCATCTCACCCATCTTCCTTGCTCACTCTGTTTCAGTCATACAGGCCTCTGGATGGTCTCTTACACAGGCCAAATATAGCCCTGCCTGAGGGCACTTGCACTTGCTGTTTCTCTAGCTGGGACTTCACCACTCCCAGACCGCCCTGCTCTCTCACTTCACTCAGGCCTCTGCTCCACTGTCACCTCCTTCCAGGGCCCATCACAGACTGCTCCATCTAAAACAGCACTTCTGCCTCCTTTGCTTCCCCATTCAGCTCCAGGACAGGAAACATAGACTTTGTTACCACTCTATCCTCATTGCTGAGAATAGTGCCTGGCACACAGCTGGGACTCAACATATATATGTATTGAATTAATGAGTGAGCAAATGATCAGACACTTTCCCTACCCAAAAAGGACTCGTATCTGATTCTTGAGTATGGGCATTTTCCTACTGATCACTGTCACCCTTGGGACGATGATCCCATTAGCTGTGGTTATGATGATGACAATGAGGATGTCCAATGGGTGGTGATTTGCAGTGTGCACTGGAACTATGAGATGGACTTTGTCTTACGCAGTGATGAGCACACTGCAGAAATGATAAGTAGGTTGTAGGTTTGAGTTGCTAGCCTAGAAGTCCTTGCACCCCCTCAGCAATGGTTAGCCCCCACCCTCTGAAACAGCCCATAGCATTTAGAGCAGCTCTAGGAAGGCTCAGGAAAGAGAAAGGGATGAAAGGTTTTGCCCGAAGCATAGTTTCTTTCTTCCTTAGGAAAATAGCATGAGTTCCAGTTGACAGGGGAGAGATGAACCTCTGCTCTATGAGTCACCCCTCAAGGGCTGCAGAATCAAAGGGAATACCAGGGACAAAAGACTCCTTGTCACTCATACCTGAATGAATGGGAAGAGGAGCCCAACAGCAAAGTTGGAGAGCCAGTTGACGGTGCCTGCGATGATGAAGGCAGCGGGCCGCTGAGATTGCTGGAAGAACTCACCGGTCAAGATGAACGGGATGCCACCTGCAACGTGAGAGCCAGGACATGGAGTTAATCACTCTGAGGTCATGCTTCCGACATCCATTCCATCTGCCACACTTTAGAGACACATCTGCAGCAGAGGAATGTTCTTTCAGCAGGAGCTGACTCTGCCTTTCTGGATGACAGCTCTAGGAGGGTGTGCTGGAGTTAGGCGACCCTCAGCCCTTCAGCCCTAAATGTATAAAACCCACTTCTCTGACCTGTCTCATCCAAATGAGAGATTTATCATGCTCTTGGCTCTCCAAATGCCCTCCAGATCACTCTGTCACCCATCACAAATTGAATACTGTATACATCAATTTGATGCATAAGGACACTGACATTTACTGACTATATTGTGCTATGAATGTTTACAATTAATCTTCAGAATAAGTGAGTTAGGAAGCTATTGGCTACCATTTCCCTGGGTGAGAAAACTGAAGCCTAAGGGGGTTACTTGATTTGCCAAAGGTTACTCCGCTCCTGGGTAGCAGAGCACAGATTTGGGGACTCTGGCCTCCAAATTTCGGCCTTTTTTTTCCCTGCTAATCCTTGCTTGAGAGAGGACAGAAGTGCCTGCCCAGCTTGGTACCTTTGGTCTCCTTCACGCCCCTTGACTGAACATGTAGTGGGCCCCAGTTCCAGAGTCACCCTGGTGGCCTAGCATTACTCAGTGGAGACATCATTGACACTGGGGTGGGACAAGTCTTGATCTCAAAGACTGTCCTGTGCAATTGCAGGGCGTTTAATTGAGGGCATGTATTACCCTGTGCTTTCTGATGCCAGGAGAGCCTCCAGTCACCACCACAGCCCAAACCTCCACAGATTTCCAAACCCACACATGGGCTGAGGTCTGTACCCTTCCATTCCTCCATGTCCTGTTCAGTGAGACCGGCAATTGTGCCCTGTACCCAGACCAGGACCTGGGGCTCAGCATGACTGCTGGGATCCCACTCTCACCTCCCCATCTCCAACTGGAGCCGCCAATGAGATCTATACCTGGGTGTTTCTCAGACAAGACAGTGTGGGCAATGGATGGGAAATCCCTCAGGGACTTTTACCAAACTCTAGAGAGACACTGAACACAATTTGGAAATCACTAGACTAGAGCTATTCATTGTGTCAACATCTGACAATTATATATATGCTGTGGCTGTTCCAACAGTGAGGTCAGAGGCAACATGAGCTTGCTTTCATGGGACTCTCTTGTCTGCTGGGATGACTGGTTCATTAAAAAGGGAGTGAGCCCAGGAATGGAAAACCAAACATGGTATGTTCTCACTCATAAGTGAGAGCTAAGCTATGAGGATGCAAAGGCATAAAAAATGATACAATGAGGGCTGGGCATGGTGGCTCATGCTTGTAATCCCAGCACTTTGGGAGGCTGAGGTGGGTGGATCACCTGAGGTCAGGAGTTTGAGACCAGCTTGACTAACATGTGAAACCCCGTCTCTGCTAAAAATACACAAATTAGCTGGGCATGGTGGCACATGCCTGTAATCGCAGCTACTCAGGAGGCTGAGGCAGGAGAATCGTTTGAACCTGGGAGGCAGAAGTTGCAGTGAGCTGAGATAGCACCACTGCACTCCAGCCTGGGCAACAAGAGTGAAACTCCATTTCAAAAAAAAAAAAAAAAAGAAAGACAAAAGAATGACACAAAGGACTTTGGGAACCTGGGGGGAAAGGGTGGGAGGGGGTGAGGGATAAAAGCCTATAAATTGGGTAGTGTATACCATTTGGGTGATGGGTGCATCAGAATCTTGGGAATCACCACTAAAGAACTTATTCATGTAAGTTCCCCACTTGTTCCCCACCCAACACCGCCTGTTCCCCAAAAACCTATGGAACTACATAATAAAAAGAGAGTGAGTAAATGAGTAAATAAAGATAAATACAAAATGTGATAAGCATTCTGGAGGAGATGCGCTATTTTGGCAGTGGGTGGGGAAGGGTGCTCTGGGGAGGAGATGGAGGAGATGTGGATTGAAGAAGGAGATGCAGCTCCTGAAGATCTGGAGAAGATCGTGCCAGGTGGAGGGAGAGGGCCTATGGGTGAAAGGATTGGGCCAAGGTCTCCAACAGGGGCCAATCATTCAGACACCTGAAGGAGTGAGATAGCAAATGTGAGCAGGGCCAATGAAGCAGCCTCTTGTAGGTCATGGAGAAGGGTTCACAGTTGAAGAAAACCTCTTCAGGCTTCTTTGCAGAAGATTGAAACTGGACTTCTCCCTTATACCATATAAAAAACTAACTCAAGATGGATTAAAGACACAAATGTAAAACCCAAAACAATAAAAACCCTGGAAGACAACCTAGGCAATACCATTTGGCAAATAGGCACAGGCAAATATTTCATGCCAAAAACACCAAAAGCAATTGCAACAAAAGCAAAAATTGACAAATGGGATCTAACTAAACCAAAGAGCTTCTGTACAACAAAAGAAACTATCAACGAGGTAAACAGACAACCTATATAATGGGAGAACATTTTTGCAAACTATGCATCTGACAAAGATCCAGGAACTATAAGAAACTTAAACAAATTTACAGGAATAAAACCCACTAAAAAGCAGGCAAAGGACATGAATACTTTTCAAAAGAAGACATACAAGTGGCCAAAAATCATATGAAGAAAAGCTCAACATCAATGATCATTAGAGAAATGCAAATCAAAACCACAACGAGATATGTTCTCACAACAGTTAGAGTGCCTATTACTAAAAACTAAAAAAATAACAGATACTGGCTAGGTTGTGGAGAAAAAGGAACATTTACACACTGTTGGTGGGAGTATAAATTAGTTCAGCCATTATGGAAGACAGTGTGGTGATTCTTCAAAGACCTAAAGACAGAACTACCATTCAATCCAGCAATCTCATTACTGGGTATATATGCAATGAAATACAAATTATTCTATTATAAAGATACATACATGTGTATGTTCACTGCAGCATTATTCATAATAGGAAAGACCTGAAATCAGCCTAGATGCCCATCAATGATAGACTTGATAAAGAAAATGTGGTACATATATACCATGGAATACTACACAGCCACAAAAAAGGATGCGATCACATCCTTCACCGGGACATGGATGGACCTGGAGGTCATTATCCTTAGCCAGCTAACACAGGAACAGAAAAGTGAATACTACATTTTCTCACTTATAAACAGGAGCTAAATGATGAGAACAAACGGACACATAGAGGAGAACAACACACGTTGGGGCTTATTGGAGGGTGGGAGAATAGAGAGGATCAGAAAAAATATTAATAACAAATGGGTACTAGGCTTGGTACCTGGGTGATAAAATAATCTGTATGACAAACCCTTATGAAACACGTTGACCTATGTAACAAGCCTGCACATGTACCCCTAAACTTACAAATGAAAGTTAGGAAAAGCACTTTACACATATTTTTACATTTAATTATCACTGTGATATGATAGTTATTGCCATTACTTTTCCATTTAACATATAGAGAAACTGAAGCTTGTGGAAGTTAAGTAATTTTTTCAACAGCACATTACCAGTAGGCTGCAAACTCAGTTGCTCTGGGTAACTTCACAGCATGAGTCTTACTTACTCCCTTATGCTCCGAGCAAGTCCAGGATGAACAAAACTTAAAATACTTGAAAAGAACTTAGCTATCTTCATAGTTTTAATCTGAATGCTCTCCCAAACCCTGCAATTCATTCATCTCTCTCACTGAAAGCATTGGTGGCCTAATTTCCTAAGAGTTTCTCAAGGTCTGTTTCTTCCAATCCAAGGTAAAATGAGAAAGAATGGGGTTTGATACAGGAACAGAATGAATTTCAGGAAGGCCTTCTTTCATTTTTATTTTGTTTTTCAAAATGTAAATAGTTTTATTTTTTTCTGATTTTCATAAATAATATTTGCTCATGTAAAATATTTTTTAAAAGCATGCAACGTGGCAAAGTATAAAAAGGAAACAAAAGTTACCCATCGGCCTTCCACCTAGAGATGATCTCCATTTGTATTTTGGTAATTAGTTTTGACATTAAATGTTCTAGTGGAGAAGATTGGAGCTAGTTGGGTATTTTTCTTTTAGGTGATTGGCTTTTTCTACCCAGAGCCCTGAGGAAATTGTTGTTTATTTTTGAAATTCGTTAACATAACTATGATGTTTTGTTGTATTAGTCCATTTTCACACTGCTATGTACATACCTGACACTGAGTAATTTATAAAGAATAAAGATTTAATTGAATTACAGTTCTGAATGGCTGGGGAGGCCTCAGAAAACTTATACTCATGGTGGAAAGCAAAGGGAAGCAAGGTACATCTTACCACATCTAAAGAGGACAGAGAGAGAGTAGGGGAAACTTCCACTTTGAAACCATCAGATATTGTGAGAACTCCTTCACTATCACAAGAATAGCATGGGGGAACCACTCCCATGATTCAATCACCTCCTACCAAGTCCCTCCCCTGACACGTAAAATTACAATTCACGATGAGATCTGGGTGAGGACACAGAGACAACCCATATTACTCGTGTTGATTTTCCTGTAACAACTTTTTGTAGAACATAGCCTGTCCCTTTGAGCTGCAGATCCACTCTTCATTTACTTCTTATGTTATACCTTTGAAAATGCCTTCTTTTCTACATGTTGGATTCTTTGCTTCAGAGACACCAATTATTCTTGTGCTGGATCAGCTTTGTCTACCTTTCCTATTGGCCATCTCTTGAGTGACTTTATTCTCTTGTTTTCTGCATAGATATTGTATGCTCTGGGGAATCTCTCTTCCTTTTCCTCTCCCTCTCTTTCCTTTCTTCCTTGTTTCCCAGGTTGGCTCTTTCCCTGTGCATTTTCCTCCATTTCTCTTATCCTTGTTGGAGTGGGCTACTTTGTCCAGATTTCCACCGGCTGTAATATGGTAGAAGACCCATATTTGATACCTTTTCATTTTATCTTCTAGTTTGTCTTGGCTTCCACGTCACAGTTTGAGATCTGAGTACCACCTTTCAGTAAGTTTTCA